GGCTCTAACCTAATCTGAATGATTGTCCTAATAAGAAAAAAAAAAAAGTTGTTCACATGTAAACAGCAGAAACCCAGAACTCAGGGAGATGTGAGAACAACTGAGAACACAGAATGCAATGTTAAGAAAAGGGGCCAAAAAATGAAGCCAAACCTGATACCCGGACTGACTGGCCCCAGTACTGAGAACTTCCATGTTTGCTGTTTAAAATGCTCAATTCATATCATTTTGTTATGTCAGCCCAAATTACTATAAGGAAACTATGGGGTTACTGGCAGGATTTATGGGATAAGTGATAGGGTGATCTTGAAGGGAAGTCTATGTAGTAAGTGCTAGATTCTAAATTATGGCAGTGTGTGGAGTCAGTGGTGTAAGGCCAGACATGGGCTACTTGTTAGTATATACGCAGCCTGCTTCTGGGTTGCCTAGCAACCTATGATGTCATCATGTGTTGCCTGCCAGGTGTTGCACCTGGCAGGCATGGTTAAGTTGCTCCATAAAAGGACCAACCTGCCACTTTGTCGCTCTTAGATCTCTTACTTCCTTACTCTCTCTTTGTTGGGGTGCACCCCCCACTGTGCTTCTATGTCTGTCTGTCTGTCTCTTTCTCCCTCCATCCAATAAACCTCATTGGATTTAAGACTGATTGTGTGCATGGCATTTTAATATACATACTAACACTACCTATGTTATGATGGAGACCTATGGATGATTAAGTGATGGGAGAAGTCTATGGGGTTAGTTATTTGACATTTCTGGGATTAGTAATTAAATATCTCTCAGTGTTATAATTAAAGATATTTTATTTCCTAGTTTTGAAAATTGCCACCATCATGGAGCTCCCACCTTCTCTTGCATCCTTTCCATGATAGTTCCTGACAGTAGCCCCACACAGTCCCTACTGTTCCTGACTCTGGCCTTTTTTGTGCTCAGTCATCAGCCTGAGAGTGACAAATCAGAGTTCTGACCCTCCAACCTGTGGGAGGGGGATCTGAATTTTCTGGTAGGTCGGAAGAACGCCTCATCAGCAGTGTTCCAGCCCACTCCATTGCTCTTTAGTTACGCTTGCTCTTAGTTTTCATGACCTTGCTGTCCAGCATACTCTGGGCATCAGTGAGATGCTTTATGGAATCAAGCACAAGGACTCCGGGTATCACCACCCATATGCCATTCATAAAAACAAAGTAAAACCAGAAATAAAGGGGGTGGCCTAGCTCCCCATGCTGGAATCCATCCTTTTGTTCTGTCAGGAAGTACAGCACATCCCCGTATAGCTGGCCTGTAGGAGGCAAGAGAAGGAAAAGCCCTGGTGAGGACAAAAAGGTTAAGCCAGACTACATTCCATGGTATTCCCCAACTCATTCTTCAAGGACTCAGAGCTCAACCCAAATTCTAAAACCAAAGCTGGAAATCTGAGGTGACAAGACACAAATTCTCATTTTTCCCATTCTTTCCTTCTTCCTAGCTCTCTTTTCCTCCCCCCTTCCCTCCCCCTCCCTCCTTCCCTTCCCCCTTTATTCCTCCCTCCTCCCCTCCCTCTTTGTGTGTGTGTGTGTGTGTGTGTGTGTGTGTGTGTGTGAGAGAGAGAGAGAGAGAGATTGAGTGTGTCAATCTAGCTATGTAGCCTAGGAACACTCAAAACACACAGTCCCTTTACTTTAGCCTTCTGAATGCTAGGCTAACAGGCATGTACCACCATACTTGGCAAGATCATGGAGAATTCAACTCAGGACAGCTCACCCTAGAATTGAAGGCAAGCTTAAAATTCTAGATCTCACGACAACTTGGTATTTTAAGACTAAAGAGAGCTTTTGTAAGCAAAGGAAAGAAAGCTAACACTTTAGGTGCTGGTCCTGGAGGACCCAGGATCTTTGGGCAGCATGGACTACATCATGTAATCTTCATAGGAAACTGTGATGGAGAAAGAAGAGAAATGTACATTCCTACTGGAGAGGCAAGCTCAGGGAGGGATTTGGTTGTTTCAGAAAACTAAAGAGTTTATAATTCAGCATATCTCACCCCTGAATGGGCACTTAATAAGATCTTACCCAAAGGGATGTGCCCATGTCTAGAGAGTCCCCCATTAACCCTTGTAGTGGCAGGTATAGGCTTTCTCCTCACCCACAGAGACCACAAGCTGTAGGACAAAGCGGAAAGGCTGCTGGCGGAGAAAGGCAATCACTACCCACAGGCTGAGTGGTCCCCAGAGACAAGCTGTGATAGTCTCCATAGAGATGATGAAGTTGTCATTACTGCAAGAGAAAAGAGGGACAATGGCATCATTGTACTCGTTAGTGCCCCAACTCACCACTACCACAAACCAACGCAGGTTTCCACTGACAGAGGCAAAAGACTTACAGGATATATCGGCTGTCACCAATGGAATACTCTTTCCCTGAGGGAAATAGAGATACATAAAGAATCAAGTCAGGAAAAGGAACTCATTTTTGTGATAATCACTGTGAAGGCAACAAACTTTATAATATCCCCATGTCTAAGTTTACTCAACTTAGGTAGAAGTTTTGATTCTAAGGTGGATGTGTTTATATAATATATGTAAAGACTGATATAGACCAATGTTGCTATGATTGCATGGTATATGGTATAGAATGAGGAATCAACAATGGACACTGTGAGGCAGGTGTGATGGTGCATGCTTGTAATCTTAGCACTTAGGAGGGAGAGGCAGGAGGATATGTAGTTCAAGTTCATCTTTGCTTACACATACATAGATACTAAAGAGCCATCATGCACCGTATGTGATGCTGTCTGGAAAAAAATATGGCAAGTGCTAGGCTGTGGTGACACTTGCCTTGAATTCCAGTACTCAGGAGGCAGAGGCAGGCTGAACTCTGTGAGCTTGAGGCCAGCCTGGTCTACAGAGTGAGCTCCAGGACAGCCAAGGTTACACAGAGAGGTCCTGTCTCAACCCCCTTCCCCCCCCCCCAAAAAAAAAAAAAACAGTGAGCAGATAATAAGAAGGTCCAAGAATGTAGCTCAGTAATAGAGAATATCTGAGGTCCCAGGCTGTATTTGCAACAGTTCTCCCAAAACATAACACAAATATAGGCAAGGGACTTAAAAAGGCTCTTCCTAATGGTCAATTAATATACAAAATGTGTTCAGAGCTTCATTAGTAATTAAAAAGAAGCAAATTAAAACCACAGTTAATTCTCACATCTAGAGGGACTAAAAGTTAGAAAACACCAGACCATAGATGCAGAGGAGCCAGAACTTTGATGTTCCACTGATGGGACTGTAACAGTATAATCTGCAGAGGAACCAGAACTTTGATGTTCCACTGATGGGACTGTAACAGTATAATCATTTCTGAAAACAGTTTGTTAGAGTTCTCTCCCAACCCAAATGAAACACAGGGCCTTCAATGTTTGCCAAGTAGTCACTATAATGCTGAGCTACACTCCTGGTCTTTGGTAATTTTCTCTAAAACTATATCCACTTTTAAAAGCAACATTTGGAAGTATATATGCTACCAGTTACATAAAAAGGCAGAATGATGCTAATAATAAACATGAACAATTAAAGAACACCTACTGCTTGCCACTGTTCTAAATGTCTTACATAATAAGTGTTGTATTTACTATTACCCCCTTTCACGGTCAAGTAAACTGAGGTTTATGTGTGTAACTTAAATGTAAATGAACTATGGAAAGAAACGTACTTTTTGGTGATAGGGATGGAATTCAGGGTCTTGTCCATGCTACATTATGGAGCTACACCCCTGCCCCTGTAATAATTATTGGAATTTTGGGGAGACATGGTAGACAGAAGGCAGATTTTCACTGTATATTTCTCTAAATGGTTTTGCCATTGAGTCATGTGAATATATGTGCAATCAAAAAGTTAACATATTGACTGTGGTGGCAAAGACCTTTAATTCCTGCACCTGGGAGGCAGAGGCATGTGAATTTCTGTGAGTTCAAGACCAGCCAGTTCCAGGCCAGCCAATGCTATACAGTGAAATCTTGTCTCAACACAAACAAGTAAGTTAGGGGTGTGGAAAGATGGCTCTGCGGAGGATAAATAACTGATGTTCTTGCAGGGGACCTGGGTCCAGTGCCCATGTGGAGGCTTACAACTCTCCCTAATTGAGTGGGGCATGGTAGCATACCTTTCTATGCAAGCACTTGGGAGGCAGAACCAGTTGATCTCTATGAATTCAAGGGCAGCCTGATCTACATAGCAAATTTCAAAGCAGTCAGGGTCTCCACCCTGACTTAAAAAGAAAAAAAAAAAAAGCCTATGATGAGCAGTGCATGCTGGCTCAGTGGTTTAGAGCACCAACTGCTATTCCAGAGGACAGAGCGCTCACATGGTGGCTCACAGTCTTCTTTAACTCTAGTTCCAGGGGTCCCAATTCCTTCTTTTGACCTCTGCAGGTATTAATGCATGAAGAAGTAGACAGACATTCATGTTGGCAAAATGCCCATACACATAAAAATAAAATAGAAAAATTAATTAAAACCAAAAGGATAAAAAGGATAAAAAAAAAAAAGCCAAGCCATCCTTATTTTCAGTTTCAGGGGATGTGGTGCCTTCTTCCTGCCCCCATGGGCATGTACAAGGCACAAACATATACTTTCAGGCAGAATATCTCATACACATAAAATAAAAATTAATGTATCTTAGAAATTAAAAATAAAAAAAATAATTCCAGCACAGATAACAACTGCTTAGGCTTTAAAAAGAAGTTAACAGAATTTTAAAAAACAAAATGAAACCATTGGTGGGTGGGTAAATATCAAAGCAAACCTCTACCCAGAAGATTCCCTCCCATAGTACAAGAACTCACGACTCACAGAGTTGGGATAAGAAGGCTTGGTCTTCAAGAAGGATGTCATGGTACAAAGAGAACCAGCCCTCAATCACAAGGTGAATGAAGGCACACACAGCAAACCAGCACAGGGCGATTCGACGCCAAATTCCAAGTGGGACAATGGAAGCTCGACCAGACAATAGCCATGTGATCACAATTAGAACCCCAGAGATGGAGAATAGGCCAACCAGGATATGCCAGGCCTGGAGATCATTAGGTACAAAGTTGTCCAGCCTCAGGTGCCTGGGCCAGTATGGGTGCATGTGGCCCATATTGCTGGTCATGTTCCTATGGGTCGCTGACAGCTTGTAGATAAACAAGGAGACAAAAGGAACGGAAAAACCTGGGCAAACAGAAAGCACATAGTGAAATAAACCAAATCCAAATAGTTTGCAACAAGAAATATAAGTGAACTGGATCTATTATTTGACAGAATGACTTGTAACACTGGATTAAAAATAGTCCAATTTGCTGGGCATGGTGGCGCACATGTTTGATGCCAGCTCTTGAGAGGTAGAGGCAGGAGGATCTCTATGAGTTTGAGGCCAGCCTAGTCTACAAAGCAAGTCTAGGACAGCCAAGGTTACACAGAGAAATTCTGCATTAAAAAACAAACAACAACAAAAACCAAACCAATTTTAGCTGGACCTGCTGTCACATGCATTTAGGCCCAGCAGTTGAAGGCTGGTGGAGCTCTGTATATTTGTGGCTAGCCTGGTCTAAACAGTGAGTTCTGGGTCAGCCAGACTAAACAGTGATAGATATTCTGTCTCAGAGGGAGGGCTAAGGAAAGAGAGAGAGAAAAAAAATCTAATTTTGAGGCATTTTAAGAATATAACTGGTGGGTGCTGTAAAAATTATTCAGCAGTTAAGAGCACTGTCTGCTCTTCCAGAGTTCCTGAGTTCAATTCCCAGCACCCACATAGTAGCTCATAATCATCTGTAATTTCCTCTTGTGGTGTGCATGAAGATAGAGTTCTCTCTCTCTTTCTCTCTCTCTCTCTCTCTCTATATATATATATATATTACATCAATAAAAAGAAGGCTGGGCGGTGGTGGCGCGCTTCTTTAATCCCCACACTCAGGGAAGCAGAGGCAGACAGATCTCTGTGAGTTCGAGACCAGTCTGGTCTATAAAGTGAGTGCAGGACAGCTAGGGCTACACAGAGAAACCCTGTCTCAAAAAACCAATATATAAAAAACTGGGGATGTATCAGTGGTTTTGAGTACTTGTTCTTTCAGAGGACCCAAGTTCAATTCCCAACATCTACATGGTGGATCACAATCATCTCTAACTTAAGTTCCAGAGATCCAACACCTTCTTTTGGCTTCTGTGCACCCATACTTACATGCAGTCAAAATAAAAAAAAAATAATAGAATTAAATATGAAGTTGCATAAAGAATAAATGCTTGTCCCAGGCTCTGGGAGGTATAAGCAATAAGAAATGGGCTTAGCTTGAGGATGGAGAGCTAGCTAGGATATAGAGTAGACATGAATAGACATTAAAAGGTTCTCTTCACTATCGGCAAGAATATCAGGAATTTTGAAATATTTAAATAAGCTACTTGTAAAAGAACTATACCCCTTTGTGGAAAACAGCACATACCTGTCAAAACTGAACTAAAGTTCAATGTCTTTCCCAAATATGCATAAAGATCCCTTTGACCTTTGTTTTCTCTACATTCTTTATCTGTAAGTCTGTACAATATCGCCTTCAAGGACAATGGATTAAAAAAAAAAATAGGTCCACAAGCACATACTTTCCCTAATATTAAAACTTAGTTTTAACACCGTTCCGTAGCACATACCTGAAATCCCAACATTCTAGGGGCTGAGACTGAAGGATGGCCATGAGTTCCAAGCTAGCCTGGTCTACATAGAAAGTTCCAGGATAGCCAGAGCTGCATAGCAAGATACTATATTCAAACAAATAAACAAATTTAGAGATTAAGTAACTTCCCAAACCCCAAATCAGATACATAGCTTCTACTGGGCGCCTAGGTGCATTTTGTTTCCCAAAACCCACTCAAGCGCAGCTTGCCTTTCTGCTTTAATAAACTTACTTTGTTTCACTGTGATACATCCTAACATTCTCTCTCTCTCTCTCTCTCTCTCTCTCTCTCTCTCTCTCTCTCTCT